ATAATATTCTCCAATTTCATCCATTACCTGAAAATGCCATACTTTCATTCTTCTTTAAGGCTGACTAATATTTCATTGTGTATATATGCCACAGTCTTTTTATCCATTCATCTGTTGAAGGGCACTTAGGTTGGTTCCATTGTTTGGCTATTGTGAATTGAACTGCTATAAACATTGATGTGGCTGCATTACCATAGTATTCTGATTTTAAGTCCTTTGGGTATAAACCAAGGAGTGGGATAGTTGAGTCAAATGGTGGTTCCATTCCCAGTTTTCTTTCCAGAGTGGTTGCACCAATTTGCAGTCCCACCAGAAATGTATGAGTGTACCTTTTTCACCACATCCTTGCCAACATTTATTGCTACCTGTATTCTTGATGATTGCCATTCTGACTGGAGTGAAATGGAATCTCAGTGTAGTTTTGATTTACATTTCTCTAATTGCTAGAGATGTTGAAAATTTTTTTCAGATATTTGTTGATTGATTGTATTTCTTCTCTGTAAAGTGTCTGTTCAGTTCCTTTGCCCATTTACTGGTTTTTTGTTGTTAAGTTTTTTGAGTTCTTAATACATCCTGGAGATTAATGCTCTATCTGATGTGCTTGTGGTAAAGATTTGCTCCCATTCTGTAGGCTGTCTATTCACCTCACTGATTGKTTTTTTTTTTTTTGCTGAAAAGAAACTTTTTAGTTTAAATCCATCCCATTTATTGATTCTTGATTTTACTTCTTGTGCTTTAGGAATCTTGTTAAGTAAGTCAGTTCCTAAGCTGAYAGTGGGAATTTGGACCTACTTTTTCTTCCATTAGATGCAGGGTCTCTGTTCTAGTGCCTAAGTCTTTGATCTACTTTGAGTTTTGTGCAGGGTGAGAGAGAGTTTTAATTTCATTTTGCTACATATGGATTTCCAGTTTTCCCAGCATCATTTGTTGAAGATGCTATCTTTTCTTCAATGTATGTTTTTGGCACCTTTGTCTAGTATGAGATAACTGTATTTATGTGGATTTGTCACTGTGTCTTCTATTCTGTACCATTGGTCTATATATCTATTTTGGTGCCAATACCATGATGTTTTTGTTACTATGGCTCTGTGCTGAAATTTTTTTGGGGAGGTACCGGGTGGGGATTGAACTCAGGGGCACTGGACCATGGAGCCACATTCCCAGCCCTATTTTGTATTTTTTTAGAGAGAGGGTCTCATTGAGTTGCTTAGTGCCTCGCTTTTGCTGAGGCTGGCTTTGAACTTGCAATCCTCTTGTCTCAATCTCCCGAGCCACTGGGATTATAGGTATGTGCCACAGTGCCCAGTTGTAGTACAACTTAAGGTCTGGTATTGTGACACCTTCTGCTTCACTCTTCTTGATAAGGATTGCATTGTCTATTCTGGGTCTCTTATTTTTCCAAATGAATTTCATGATTGCCTTTTCTATTTCTATGAAAAATGTCATTAGGATTCTATGAATAATGTCATTAGGAATTGCATTAAATCTGCATAACGCTTTTGGTAGTATGGCCATTTTAACAATGTTAAATCTAACCTTTATCTGTATTGATAGAATTTTATGGAACTTTAGAAGTCCTTCAGATATGGAAAGAGTAGGCTTAGTTACAATCCCAATTTAATTTTTGGTCCTGTCTACAAGACAAGGGTGATTTATAGTGGGGTTGGGAGGGGATCTTGTGAAGTTTAGATGAACTCTAGATAGGGCAAAGGGGAGGCAGGGGAAGGGAGGGGGTAGGGGGTGTAAAAACGATGGTGGAATGAGATGGACATGATTTCCCTGAGTACATATATGAAGACATGAATGGTGTGAATATACTTAAGAAAATACTTGGAGACAAACACTCTAGAAAGATAGAGGATTGGGAAATATGTGGTTGATGTCTTTCATTCCTGAATCTCTAAGGCATGACTGATCCACCAGTTTGGAAGAGTGGCTTAGAGGACACACCTGTGGAGAATGGAACTTTGACATTGCTAGTGTAGAGTGGTCTTTAATCAGCATGCCAAGATCCCCACAAACAAAGGGAGGGCTCTGGTCAGTCTTTAATGGTGAACTTCACGTTTGTGGAAGCATCTCCTTTGTGCCTATTTTCTGCAACTCCTCCTTTTCAAAATGTGCCTTCTCTGGACCTCAGTTTCCTCATCTATAAAACGGGGACACCATCCTCAGGAAGATCTTTGGGAGATGCTTGTATAGTGCCAATATGAAGTAAGGGTTCTCCAGGGGCAGCTAAGATGATCACCAGACTATTTTAGAACCAGAAAAATAGTACATGCATGACCATTGTAAAAAAAAAAAAAAGCTTACAAGTATAGAAAGAAATGAGCATCAGCCTTAACTCTGCCCTCAAGAAAACAATTTCAGTATGTTCCCATTTCCATCAAGGGCTATAGGAAACAGTATGAAATTCTCATTGTTTTACTTATTCTATCTCGGAATTTCCTTGCAAAGTCATTTTTTTTTCTTTTTGGGTACCAGGGATTGAACTCAGGGGCACTCTACCACTGAGCCACATCCCCAGTCCTATTTTATACTTTATTTAAAGACAGGGTCTCACTGAATGCTTAGCACCTCACTGTTGCTGAGGCTGGCTTTGAACTCATGATCCTCCTGCCTCAGACTCTCGAGCTGCTGGGATTGTAGTCATTTTAATGGCTGTGTTATACTCCAGTGATGGCTGTCTTCTACTTCATTTCACCTTTTCCCTCTGCAAGGTCTCCCTTCCCCCGCCAGTGGGTGCTGGGCATGGCAGCCAGGGCTTTGCACACATTATACAAGTGCTGTATCTTTGAGCTAAATTTCAGTTCCCAAACATCTTCTCTTTCCTCCTCCTCTTCCTGGTAAGCCCTACTCTCTCTGGACTTAGCTTCTCTCCTCACATGGAGCCCCCAAGCCTGGATGGTACTGGAGGTCAGGCGTGGGTCTCAGCCATACCTGATGGCTCCCAGGTCTTTTCTGACCCAACAGGCAAGGGGAGTACATGATCGCTCCCTCTTTCCTTGTCGCCTCCCACTATATCCACTCAAATCCTCAGCCATAACTCCACACAGAGGGCATCTCACCCACATGCAGTGACAAATGGATTAGGGGTGAAAGATGAATGGAAGAAAGGAAAGGAAGGAGGGTCAGGAAAGGTAAGAAGGAGGAAAAAGCTGCAAAGCTAGGAAAGAAGGGACGGAGGGAGAGAGAAAGGGAGAAAAGGAGRAAGGAAGAGGAAGAAGGAGAAAGCAAGAACAGTAGCAAGGGAAAGAGGGAGGAAGAAAGGAAGGAAGGAAGAGAAGTTTTCACACACAAGCCTCACTCTTCTGGCTCTGTGGAAAGTTCTTTCACTGGGCAACTCCTGCCAGTTGTCTAAGTCCTAGGTAGCCTTCTCTGCCCCATAGCCCTGGGCCTTCATGTCTTGCTCAGTCRTCACAGGGACCCTGGGAGGGAGGTCCTATTGTTACCATGTTTCACAGATGGGGAAACTGAGGTTCAACAAACTCCAAGAGTTTGCCCAAACTCTCTCAGTAGTGGGTGGAGGCAGGGAGTTCTGGCTCCTTCTGCCCCCCCCCCCGCCCCCAGTCTTTGCACTCAGCCTTCTGCAGCCCAGCACTGCCTGTGCCTACTTCATGCTTCTCCTCTGAGAATGTGACCAGGCCCAGAGCAGAGGAGGCACTGCAGGCTCTTGGGAGTTTTTCCTGGAACCTCTGAATGGAGGAATACCTCCATGCATCTTGTGCCTAGCCCCACACTCTCATTTGATAAGGGAAGAAGCAGATCTTGGAAAAACAGCAACTGCTTCTCCACACCAGCTGGTGCCACAGTTCTGTGGATTTGAACAAATGCAGAGAGCAACTGGTGTCTTCCTTCCTTCAGCTCCCTTTGAGAAACTGCCATGTGTTTCTGGTGACCAGATTTCGGAGGTGGAGGATGGAAGAGAGGAAGAGAGAAAGAAACAGAAAGCCAGGTTTCCTCTTGTCCAGGACCTTTGCAGCTGTGGGGTTCAGGTTTTCTGGAGGCTTTGTGGCTAAAGCAATGGGCTGGATTTCACTTTGGGCCGGGGGTTATTCCAGGCTCTGTCTCTCCTCGAGTTAGCATAAAAGATTGCAATCCTAGTTGAGAAAGTGTGCCAATTTGGAAGGCACAAACCCATGGCTCTCTCCAATTCTGTGCAGAACCAATACTCCCTGTGCTGAAACCACCAGCTCTTCTCAGCAGAAATGGTGGTGGCAGCCAGCAGCCTGAAGTCTGTGCAGAGTGTTATCACTGCTTCTGACAGGGCTCATCAAATTCTAATAAATGCCACTTTCAATAAATCCATCTTGCATGAATTTCTCAGATTAATACAGGTTCATTATAAACACTGGTGCCTTCTATAAAGTCCCACCTATGTGCTGCTAGTCACTGTGCCTAGTGAATCATCTCATTCAATGTTCATGAAAATTGTGAATCATTTCATGAAAACCCATCTGACTTTCAATTATCCCCATTGCACAGATGAGAAAATTAAGGAACTCCAAAGTTAATAGTATGCCTAACTTACTGGCTGCATGGTGGGAAAGCCAGGTTTCAAACTCAGGTCTTTCTGACCTCAAAGCCCATGCCATTTCCTGCAAACACTTGAGTGGCATGTGTTCCTTCTCCCCAGCATCATCCTCCCAATCCAGGCTCAGAATGACTGCCAACTCTAGCTTATTTTAAAAAATGCCACTATCTGCCAGGCATAGTGCTGGTGGCCTAGGACACCAGGTGTATGTGGGGGGTGGGGGGCCAGGAGACAGAATTTCAAGAGCAGGAGTTTCCAAATGAGGCTGCGCCTAGGTTCTCTCTATGATTACAAGCTGGGAAAGTTTCTTCAATATTCCAAAGCAGACTCTTAACACTGCATGAGCTCCTTGAGGGCAGGATGCAGGCCCACAGAGGATCCCTGTAAGTGGAGCCCAAGGGTTCGAGTTATAGGGACTCCCCTTTGTCCTCCATCAACTAAGTTAAAGCCAGTCTGTTTCTTTCTACAGGAGCTCTCCAAGTTGGGCCTGGGGACTGATATGGCAGTGGAACTACGAACTCTGCAGTTGCCTGTAGATTACAGGGAGGCAAAGAAGAGGGTCACCAGAATCTGGGAAGATTTTCAGCCACAAGTAAGTGATGGCTAGAGAGGCAGTGGGCCTTGGAGGCTGATGATGTAGGGGAGTACAGAGGTTATGAACTTCCTGGATCCTGGTGCTTGGATTGATGGCTGATGTGCAACCTGTCCCTAGRTCCCATTCAACAGTGTGAGGTCCTGATATTGTAAGTGATAAACCCAGCCCAATTCCATCTAACAGTAAGTTTCTCGGTTTAAGCTGAAATATAGAGTAGGGTCCGCCTGGCCCCTGCACTGGGGATTGAACCCAGGGGCTTTTAGCCACTGAGCCACATCCTTAGCCCTTTTTAAATATTTTATTTAGAGACAGGGTCTTGCTGTGTTGTTCCGGGGCTTCCTAAGTTGCTGAGGCTGGCTTTGAACTCATGAYTCTTTCGCCTCAACCTCCAAGCCACAGGGATTACAGGCTTGCAGGGATTACAGGCTTGCACGGCCAAGCCTGGCTAAAGCAGGTCTTAAAACCAGGAGAGAAAGGAGAAGAAAAAGAAATGGAACTCAAAGTGTTTCCACCTAAGGAAGAGGCTTGGGTTGGGCCCCACACATGCCCATTCAGGGAAGGCTGGTTTGAGGTTGGACATGAAGTAATGGTCTCCTGGGCCTGGGAGAGTGACTGGGAGTGTGATCCACCAAGGGAAGGCTTATTTTCAAACCTATATTCTCAACCTATATCAAACTATATTATCTGAACATAATTACTTGGTACAAATACCCTGGTACAAACAGCCCTCCTCCCAAAGACCATAAGATGAAGTTAATAAAACATATACCATCACGCTATTAAGGCAATGCCCCAAATGTTTTGATAAAATACTCAGCAGCTATTTTTGAAAAAGGAAAAATAATCAACTCAAATAAATTCTATCAAGATTTATTGGTCTGTTACTAACTTCCTTTATTAAAGTTTCATTAAAAAGACGTATGATTCCACTAAAATTCTAAGCTTCTCCTATGGTAATCTTAGATAGTAGCTTCCTCCCCACCCCCACCAAAAAAAGAGAGAATGAATACATTACTATGTAAGTATATCTTGAAATGTAAAGGTATTTAAATATAAATGCAGCATGATTTCTAGTCAGCTAACAGCCTGCTGCTTTTCCTTCTACTTGTATTAATTAGAGGACATAGGCAGGAGATTGTGGGTTTTCTGTGTGGATTTGAGGCTTGAGATAGTTTGCACTGGGAGCTGGGGTCTCCCACAGCCTGGCCCTTCTGCATATCTAATGACCTGGTTTCTTGTGATGTCTCTTCTATTCCATGTGTTCACACAGCTTGCTGTGCATGTGGGCATGGACACCTCTGCCAAAGTGATCTTTCTGGAACAGTGTGGCAAGAATAGAAGTTACCAGGATGCTGACATCCGGGGCTTCCGACCTGAGGGCGGCGTGTGCCTACCAGGTGGCCCGGATGTGATTGAGTCGGTGGTCAGCATGAAGGCGGTCTGCAAGAACATTGTGGTGGAGGATGTTGGCGTGGCCTATTCCCGAGATGCGGGCAGGTACACTTTGCAGAAGCGTCGAGTGAGCAAGGGGAGGGAATGGTTTTCAGAGTGCCATCTCTCTCCTGAAGGGAGAGAGCCATGAAGTTGGCTACTTGATCACCCACCCCTTTGCTGCACATGAGCACAGCTTGGTTGCTCACACCCTGGCCTGAGGTCTTATTTCCAGGACCCCTCCCTGTAACACAGGCTTTGGAGCATTATTACAGAAGAGATGGAAAAGCAGGTTTTGAGAATCATGTGTATTTTGTGGATGTTTATATATAATTTTTTTTKGGGGGGGACCAAAATTCTGAGTTTATTTGGCCCCAGATAAAGATTAGTTTACYTTTGCATCTCCAAATTCTGATCTTGGTTGGAATTTTCTCCCTTCTCCAAGTAATGAATAGACAAATGACTCCATAAAGACATGAATGATGGAGAGATTTACTGGGTGTTTTGGATTAGTTAGTTGAAAGTCTGGTCATTTTCTCTTAATCACTTGTTGGTCATGAGACTAGAAATCAGTTTCTGATTCATTCCCGCCCCATGTTCTTTCTGAGGCAAGAAAACTCAAATTTCCCCAAGTGGTGGTCTCCCTCATGGTTTATTGCCAATTCTGTTTACATTCTGTGGAGTTAGAGGTTGGTATGAGAAATGATGTGGAGATTCATGTGGATGCAGGTACGTCTGTGATTACGTCTACTACCTCTCTTTGCATCATGGAAATAGGCATGCAGCGCTCATCCATACCCCTCCGCTGTCACACTGGCTCCCTGCCAGCCTGCTGGGAAGAACCTTGCAAGTCATTATCCAGGAAATGCTGAAAGAGACTGGGAAAACCCAAGCTTTCAACATGATTTGCAGAAAACCGAACAGCCAAAGAGAAGCAACTAGGGGATGTCTGCTTTAGAGAAAATTAAACGTTTCAATGATGTGTGTAGAGTTCAATTGTGCTTTGAGAGGCTTTTAAAAAATTGCTTGTAAAACAGTTTACACAGAGGGGAAAAAATTCTGAATTAGCTCAACAAAATCACAAAGTTATTTTATTGTCAGAAGAAAAAAGAACTCTTTAAAAGGCAGACATTGCACAAGGGATTAACTAAGTTCAGTTATGTTTTTCATGGCTATGAAATAAAATCCTAGCATTTTTTTCTTCTAAAGGGCACAGCAGTGGGGCTGTATGATTCTGCCAGATTTCCAAGACCACAGACCCACTTTGCAGAGGCCATGGGAACTCAGGTGCAGCCACTGTTCTAGGTGCCCTCTGCCTGGCCTCCAAACAACGCACCCAGGCCCATGAGCGGCTTTAGAGGTACTGAGTTGCTGGTGTTTGGTTATTTCCTCTTTTGGTGCTCATTTTAGCCATTTTTAAGTATACTTTAGTGGCGTTCACTACACCTACGTTGCTGTGCAACTATCACCACCATCTATTTCTAGATCTTTCTCATCATCCCARATAGTACCCATTAAAGACCTCCTACCTATTTCTTTCCTTTCCCCACGTTATTGTTTAGCTCTGGAATGTCCCTCAAAGTCTCATATGTTGAAGACATTGTTAACATTAGAATCCTCTGCCACAGAGTCATACAGATCAAACCTGCCTTGGCCTGACTTTTGTCAGTGAAAGGTCTAGAGAAAAGCCTACAAATCAGTCAAAAATGAAGTACAGATTTTACATTATATGTATTCAAATTTTCTTTTCTTTTTATAGTTTTAGTTGTAGGTGGACACAATACCTTTATTTTATTTTTATATGGTGCTGAGAATCGAACCTAGTGCCTCACACTAGCGCTAGGCAAGGGCTCTACTACTGAGCCACAACCCCAGCCCTGTATTCAAATTTTCTTCCAGCCAATTTAATGGAGTGAGAAAGAGTAGCTTCCCTGACTTCACCGGCAATTTGCATCCTCAGAGGGCTCAGCTGTCACAAATAAGGTGATGCTTTCTTAGGGAACACTTGCAAGTGACATGTGTGAATATACACGCTGCCACACAAGTGTGGTGATGCTTCCAGAAGGGAGGAAACAAAACTGAAGTCAAAAAGTGCATACAGAATTTTTTTTATTTAACTTAAACCATGTAGTACTTTAACTACTAGAAAAAAGCAGAGTAAGAGAAACTAAAGTTGCCTTAGCTTCAGCCATTCAAAATAGACAAAGTTTCTTTTTTTCCCCCATAATGTAAAGAATCCAGAGTATATAGATAACAGGAATAAATTCTTACAACAGAATATACAAAAACATTTTGAAATTTTTTTCATCTACTGATTTTTTTATATAAACAGAGGATTTCTTAGGAATAATTTATACACAGAAAGTCATTTTATGTAACAAATTGGCCATGTTATTACCTTTTTTTAAAACTTTTTTAGAAAACTTTTTAAACAAGAAAAACTCAGAAAATGCATTATTTGCGATGCATCCATTCCATCGCGCCTTCTGGTTTTTTGTTTGTTTGATTTTTTAATTCCAGAGGTAGACAAACTCTGGCAAACCTCTCACCTCAACCTCACTGGCTTAGAAAGCAGACAGGTGTTTTTGCCAGGCATCTGTTCACCTGTGGATGTGTCTGCACAACACCAAACATCCAAATCAGAAGCTGAAAACAAAAATCAAATGGTTTCTGGACCTTTCTCCTATGGAGTGCAAAAATTCCAGATGTTTCCAACAATGGGGATTTTGTGGAGTTGTGTCGACATGGCCAATTATTATTGGGAACTAGAGGACATGGAGTCAAACTTAAAAAAAATATTGGCGTGTGCTATACTTTTTATTAAAAAGAATTTGTTCTGTATGGGAAAAATGTATCTTCGGTGTTCTGCCTTAAATAAAAATAAATAAGGTCTCTTCCTTGTTAGAACAAAGCATTCATCATAATGTGAGGCACAGAAGCAAATGGCCTGTGTGCCCCAGAATCTTTTGTGTGATCAATGTGAAAACCATCTGCAGTGCCCTGAAGTCCTTCTATCTGTATGGCATTGCAGAACAAGGCAACAACCACGCCAGTTAGCCAGATGCCGCAGTGTCCTGCCCAAAGGGGTGGCAACACCTCTGCTATTTCCATGGCCAATGAGGTTCTTTTCTTTCCATCTGTTAAGGTCACTACACTCCAAAGGGAAATAAATGACCAGTAAAAGATCCCCTACCCAACCAGAGGGTTCTAGAAGACCAAGATACTGAAGATACAGAACTACTTTTGAAAACATCATCATTCCTTTGTTATATAGGGCACAAAGCATGGGGGGAAAAGAGGGTGAGCCATGGCCTGGGTCCAGGAAAATCTTTTTTTTTTCTTTTTCTTTCTTTCTTTTTTTATTTTTAATTTTTTTTTTTTTGGCATATTGTAAAGCTAGCTAGTAAAGAGGTGTCCTAAAAAATGGATCACAAACACACATTTGCACACAGAGAGAAAAAAAAAGTGTCTTTAAATTATTTTTAGCAATTATAAACTACAAACATTTTATAAAATTATTCTATGTTCTTACAAAAATGCAATGAAACATTTAATTAGTTCTTGTAAACCAGATCTTCGTCAACTGACTACCCGTAATCTACTGGACTTAAGAGCCCTATTGGAAACACTAATGAGTGTCTAATTAAAAAAATGTTTACTGGAAAGATGCGGACACACAAATGTGGACATACAAATGAGTGATTATTATGTTCTTGCAGAAACAAAATAAAACAAAACTCTAAAGTCACACCCCAGAACTGACAACTGGTGAGTGTGATATAGTTCGCATTCTTGAACAATGTGATTTAACTCTGTAGGTTTCCAGAGCAGGATGTTAGGTTTATTTGTTGAAACCAAATGCCCATGGATGACTGTTGAGCCTGGATGTGGTCTGATACCTTCAAAAGGCATCAAGTTCAAAACACTGCCCATGCTTCTTCCAAAGCCCTGTACCCTTCTGCCCGCAATTCTTCTCTTCATGTCATGATCCCTGTTAACAATGGTTTCCTAATGCCTGGTCATTCCACCATTGAGGAGCGTTCATTTCTCTAAATGACCAACTAGTCATCCAAGTTGGAGGCCAGAAAGAAAAACTTCTGGCTTATTCAAGGTCTGTATCTTCAGCATCTCTGGCAACAGAGGTTCAATCTAAACAACATCCTCTCTTGAAGTTCTCATTTGTACCACTGACTAGTTCAGAGTGGAGTAAGAAAGTTTGACTTTCATCACTGGTTCTTAAGGAGTGGATCTCTGGTCCAAGTCTCCCAATGCTGCTTAGCCCAGGAAATGAAAAGACAGCTGACAAACACAAAAGTAACATTAACAAAAGCACAAACCCCAAACCTTAAGTGTGTTACTGGGACTGCTGGAATGGGCCAAGGCATACCATGGAGTGTTACTGTCAACTGGAAGGTGCCTACATTTTGGAAAGGAGTTGCCTTCAACACTGTCTGGTCGCCCTAAGCAGACCCAGAAGTGAGAGCTGAGCACTGGGGATGAGCATCTTAGCCTTCTCACTCACCTGAGTCAGTGTAACTTGGCCACCATGGCCACCAGTCACAGAGGTGGACTGCTAAGAAAGAGGCTTTGGTGGATCAGACTGGCCTACTATTTGGCATCATACATGGCTCATCGATCTGTTATCCCAACCAAAGCACAGTGCCACATATCAAGCATTTTGCCATTTGGTGGTTTCCCAATAACCACTTTTCTATTTTATGAAGCCGCTTTTCCAACCATTGAAATGTCGTCCCGAGTCACAAGAAACAGGATGGAAGGAGAGGCCGGTGATGGCCACGAACACAGTCTTCTATCTTCCAAGAAGGAAGCGCTTTCCAACTGTGTGTCAAACATCATGACATCCCATAAGGAGAACTGGCATAGTCTGGGTCTCACACAGCTCAAGTTCGCAATGTCTCTAGAATATGCCAACTCTTGTTGCCTCAGGGAAGGGCTGTATGTGAGAATGTCTTAATGCTCACATCAACGCAGTGATGTGCCTCAGTGGTTCACGTTACTTCAAGCAGTGTGAGCTGCTGTCAGAAGGAGGTTGCATGGAAAATGCCACAACTCAGCTTGATAAGATTATTTGGAGCACACAAAAGAGAAAAATCGAGAAGAGGTGGGAAAATCAGCATAAAATTAGGCTAGAACTGTGGATATATGATGCCTTGGTATAGTCAAGGTGGGTGGGTTGGTCCAGTAAAATGACTGTACCATCACACGAACAAAATTTTCTTTTATTGAAGTGTTTCTGAAGCATTTGTTATGATGGGCACTACACTGTAGTGTTTTCTCTCTACTTAAAGAAAAACCTCCTACATAATACAAAAACAAATGACACCAACAACTTGGACAGTTTAAACAAAACCCTTACAACCAGCTGAATGATCTGTAGAAATCCAGTTGCGGAAACCGGTAAGTATGTGCAAAAGAGAGGAGAGGCCACTATTCCAAGGGGTCACCTACAGCGTGGAAGAAGAAAACCCTGATCAAACAGTATTTATCAATGATCTTAAGGTCCCCAGGAACTTGGGAGACAAGGGTAGTGTTCTAGCAGGAAGGAGAAGGCCCCTGAGCTTAACTGTACATACTGGAACTGCTAAGGAGCTGCCCCTTCTTGGACAAAACTACCCACAATGTGTTTCCCAGCTGAAGTCCCCAGTGCTTATGAGCAGCCGCTGGATGTGGAGAGTACACCATCCGCCCGTGAGCAGCAGGATGACGGGATGGACGGAGGTACATCCCTGACCAGATGGGAATGCCACAGAGGCTGGGCCTACCACTGGCTTTCTCAGCCCCAAGATTTGGTATGTCTGTTTACCCCTGGGGGAAGAGGAGATGAGGGTAAAGTTGAGAGCAGTTTGCAGAGGGGAAGGGGTTTTGCCCCTACCACCCTTTCTGTATCAGATGGGTGGTAATGTCAGGAACCTCTGCATTCTGGATCAGAAGGCCAAGCTCTCAAATTGTTGATGTGGCTGCACCCTTGAATGGAACAAACCCAGCAGAAGCAGCAGCATCAGTGGTGGTAGCACATCCCTGCCTCATTGCAGGCCTCACTGGAGCAGGTGAGGGGAACCAACCAACACCCCACACGTGCACACGTGGGATTCTCACAGAATCAACTGTGTGGTGTTGGGGGGGCACCTTCCTGTTCTCAGCGACTGGAGAACACCTGCTTTCTCAGTGATGAAATGTGTTGGTCATTCAACATGCATAAAGTAGTTTTGTTCCAAAGTCATCTAACAGGGATGGCCAGGTGGCCTCCCATGGTGTGCTCTTGTTATCTCCTCAGGGTTGTAGGGGCTGCTGGGCTGAGAGTAGGACAATCCTAATACCTCCCAACCTCTGAGGAACCAGGTTAGGAAAAAAGGAAAAGCAACATGAGATGAGACATCTCAGAAAAAGGCAAGCCATTTGAAATGAGTGGAGAGGTGAGTTAGTGTTGTTTTGACCCCGGAAAACAGCCTGGCCTCTCTCCCTGCATCACCTGGGTGTGTGGCCTGTGGCATGGATGAGGTTACCAGTATCAACGGCCTATTGTCAGGTGCTGAGAAATGTGAGATGTATTGTTTTTTTTTTCTATATACACATATAAAAAAATAAGAGTGAGGTAGATAAATGTTTGAAAAACAACAACAACAAAAAAACCCCAAAATCAAAAAACTGTCCCATCTTACACACACACACACACACACACACACACACACACACCCTTTCCTCAGTATTTAAATTCATAATGGGGGCTTCTCTACAGTGATTAAAACTGGTATCACAAAATAAGTTAAAAGAAAACTCCTACATATAA